GCATGCTTTGATATCTGCATAAGGAAATATCAGAAGATAATATACCATTGGTATTTATTACTCTATAATTAAGGATGTGCCAGTGTTTCCCTTTAAAAAAACACCCTATTTTCAGAAATTCATATCTCAGGCATAAATTTCCCTATGAATTACAGTCTAATACCATATTAGAAGTATCTTCTTTTTAAGTTGTCCCTCCCCTTCTTTTTCTTTTTGGGGAAATAAGTTTCAGGATGTAATTTCTGGGTTATCAGTTTGAAATGAGAGGAAGCAGGTCCTATGCTGCAAAATGAAAGGTGCTTCTGCCGACGATGCCAGCTGCTCCCTCTGCCCTAGGCCCTCTGCACCGGGCACGATCGTGGGGGCTGCCTTTTGGCTGAAGAGCCAGCCTATGCCTGTGTGGATAAGCAGCTCCATCGCCGTGTGATAGGAAAGGCAATCGGAAGACTCAGCTGCTGAGAACTATCACAGGTGCCACAGAGTCTAAAATTTTAGTACCAGGAATCGATCTCTTGCATTCTTCTCTGTATGGTCACTTAGAATACAAATGTGGCCAGGAGTAACATGAAATAAACACCAACCAGTTGCCTCCTGTATGCACCCCAACCGAGGACTGAACCCGCAACTAGGTATGTGACCTGACCTGGAATCAAACATGCAACCTTTTGGTGTACAGGACAATGCTCCAAGCAACTGGGCCACCTGGCCAGGGCTAAGGGATGGCTCTGACCAACTGAAATGACCACAGCCTCCTGAAAGAGACTGAGTTCTAGACTTGTCTCTACCTTCACAGGACCCACAGCAACTCAGCTTCTCCCTGGGCCCTCAGCTTCCCAGCATCTATAATGGGGAGGTGACAAGACATAAATGTTTACCAGGAGAGCCAGGTAAATTACCTAATTGTATAAATCCAGCAGATTGTAAGATCGCAGAGAGCGACGGGGCTGTGATGGATGTAGAGACTGAATGCCCCCCTACTGGTGTAATAATAGTAATAAAAACACTTAAAATATTGGTTCCCTACCTGGTCTCTCATGTCCCCTTTAACACCAACAAGGCAACAAAACAAGCCCTTGCTGTTCTTTCCACTTTCTTGTCCGGTGGGGGGGAAAATAGAAGGAAACTGGGGGTTCAACTGAGTCAGGAACACTGAACTGGTGCTTCCTGAAAGACACATGGGTGACAATGACACTATCTCATGCACGAAAAGCTTTATACAAAACATCTTTGTTCCTGTAACAAAGTGTGGCTCCTAAAAATGCCATTATCTGAAGCTTTATTTTCTCATTTTTAAAGTAATAATGGAACCATTAAATTTTCAAATATAAAGGACTTAAAGTTCCAAGAAAGGTGTTATGTAAGTATTTTCAGTCGAAGTGGCATCTTCTAACAACCCACCTTAGGTCTACTATACAAGTGCAGGGACTGATAGGACCGCAACAGGAGCATTTTAGATGGTCTCTCAAGAAACATCCATTCTTTATATCAGCTTACAAGAACAATTATGAACCTGTCCTAGGGTTAAACATCATTACCTTAGAGCTATGAGAAAAAATTAAGGCATCCATCAGGTAATGATAAACAATGGGAGGAAAATGGGCCATAGGCTGAGTGGAGATCTTGGTTCCTGAAATTCTGTGTGTCTCACGTGCAGCTAGGGCACCCTAAAGATACTAAGGAGGACTCTTTCACCGGATGGACTGCAATGAAAGTACAGAGCCCACACTTGGTCCCATGTCTTCAATTGGAAAGGGGACAGGTGACAATATGGGAAGTGGGCAGAGTGGTTAGGAAATCAGACAGTTCTGTGCTCTACCACGCAGCTCTGACTTTGTCAAGATAAGAAGACTGGCTCATTTAACATTTTCCTAGCCTCTGCTAGATAGTTTTCCATCTTGCATTAGAAAGAGTTAGACGTCAGTTACAGAAGATGATCAGGAGCCCCGGGGGAAATAGGAACCCATGGAAAGTCAAGTCCAACTTTCTTCAGAGTATGATTTCTTTCAGGGTAAGCAGACGAGTCTTGTCATGCAAAATGGACAGTGAGGGCTCTTTCTTTAAAAGTCTGAGGGAAAATGGTTTTCTGACTTGATCAATAGTTTCGAGTCAAGAAATGTTAAGGATGGAATGGTAGCAAAATTAACCACAGGCTTCCAGAAGTATTTATAGCTCCGATCCAAAGGTATAGCCAAGAACAACATTTAAAACATGTAACAAGTGACACAGAGTAGGAATAAGTCCACGTGTACTATGACCCAGCCGAAGAAATAGACCACTAACTGTACGGTGAATGTGCCTCTACCAGTTAATATGTCTGTTCTTTCCACCACTGCTCCTTCTAACTTAACTATCACTGTAGTTTTGGTGTTAATTTTCACGTTTTTTTGGTTGCACTTTAATCACATATGTGCATATCTCCAAGTAGCGCACAGTTGTTTGCACGTTTTAAAGCTTTTCCAGTTGCATTTTAATGAATAGCTTTGAAGGGAGGCCGTACTATAGAAACATTAGTCGTTCTGTGTGTCAATTCAAGTTTCATAAGGAAATATGTTCATGTCAGTGGTTTATAATATACTTTCTCTATTGTTAAATGTAAAATCTGATATTAAATACCACTCAATTTTCCACTGAAACTGAAAGGCACTTGGGGCTATACTTGTCAGTAGTCAATAGAAAACTAAAACTCATAGACTATGTCAACATTAAAAGACTGCATAGACTATCATTTGAAAACTGATTCTATCACCCACAGAAAGTATGAAATTTAAATGAAAATTTTTGTGTGTCTATAATATTTCTGGGTAGCAGATGCTTTCTCAAAAACAGGTTTTACTTTTAAAAATATCAAATATAAATGAAATCTTTGCTTCCAGATGCATTTCAAGGTGTTGAAATGAATCTATGCAGCCCTCTGTGGCTGGGAGTTTCCATTGACTTACTGAATCTGCTGCCACCTTTATGTGGCGCGACTGAAGAACTGAGAGTGAGAGCAGGGCATTTAAACTTAACTGTGTTTGAAGGATGCTTATTAAAACAGGTGCGTTTTGAGAAAGGTCTCTTGGCTTATTCCTGATAACATGATATAATGAGTAGGTTAAGAACTAGGTGCCCTGTTATTTTATTATAGAAACACCCAGCTAGGGCATCACCTAGATTAAGTAAATTCAGGGCAAACATCATGGACACTGTATCTTGATAAATATAAATAGAGATAAAAAAAAAATCTTGTTTTGAATATACTTGTTGAAAATACTGGTCTTGTTTTAAACATGCAACTTTATTAATTTTATTCTTTTAAGTTAAATTGTTAAACCAACTTTAATTATAAATATCAGCTGTCTGGTGAGAGTAAGGGAAACAAAAATTACAGAGTCAACTTGTATTCTCAGTTATTCTCTGACTTTAACAAAATATGGCTTAACTTACTTAATAACACTTCATTCCACCACATCACGGGTATTGGGAAGTATGTGTGGACGCGCACGCACACACACACACACACACACACACACACGCACACGGATTTGTCTTTTCAAATATTAAGAATTACACATTTACAAACTTTTTATTCCTTATTTTCACTAATACCAAATCTGACTACAAAGTTTTACGAAGTGGTAAGTATAATACAAATTTTTTTTCAGGAAGGAATGCTGGCCACAGCAAAAGACAAAACTTGATTCAGGTTTCTGGGTGTAGGAAAAAAGCTCCATACACAAGTAACATTCAATACTATATTTGCCAAAATCAGGAAAATATTTAAATGTCTGAAAGGTAGTTAATGCCCCCCCATCAATTAGTGAGAAAACATATGTGGATAGTTGTTGTGAAGACAATATCATGCCATTATAAAATGTGAACCCTAGCCCTGGCTGGGTAGCTCAGTTAAAGCATCATCCCAATACGCCAAGGTTGTGGGTTCGATCCCTGGTGAGGGCACATAAAGAAGCAACCAATGAGTGCATAAATAAGTGGAACAACAAATCGATGTTTCTCTTTCTCTAAAATCAATTAAAGAAGTGTGAGCCTATTATTTTCAGGGTAGGAAAACATGACAAACTAAGCACTATTTCTTGGCTGTGAGATTATGATGATTTGAGCGGACGTCATCTCTGACATGGACCTTTGTAGCAGAAGCAGACTTACCGGCACAGTTCATCTCCTCAGATAATAAACACTGCCCCGGAGAAGTGTCTAAAAATCTCTGATGAGTATTCATATCTTTACTTTTGCACTCAAAAGGAGCACACCTGACAGATGACCAGTTTCACAGTATTAGGTGGAAGGGATTTCCAAAATAATCCCGGAGCCCTTTGGTTTGCGGGTGAGGAGGTGATTTATTCAGTGACTTCCCCACAGACCAGGGCACGAAACGAGTGCTGTGAAGTCCCAAAGTACATTTCAGATCTCACACTAGTTAGGAGAGGGCTCTCTGTGCAAAGACGGACTTTGTTGTTTCTGCTTCTTACTCTTTCTGTTTTTAAATTCCTGGCCGCATGGACCCTGAACTCCTGCTTTCTTTGGTCTGCAAATGCTTCTGTGTCCAGGCCTCTGTCTGGCTCCCTGACCTTGATCCATTTCCCGCCTGCGATTCTGCTGCCCGTCAGTGGGCCCGACTGGCCCATTGCCTGCTCCATGTCGGGTGCCTGCTAGGCCACTCAGGGCCCTGCTCTAACCTCTTCTTCCTGGCCGCTCCTCAGCAGGCTGTACAGCGTGTAGAAGTGACTCCTTTCAAAAGCTAGGAAAGTTACATTTACCTGTCAGTAAACAGAAGATGGTTTATCAACAGACTTTACCTTAATGACTACAAATGTTTACCTCCTGCTTTCCAGAATGCAAAGAAAATCTTGGAAATGTCATAATATCTTACAAACATTTGCAAAACAGATCCTGGTTCATCCAGAAAAGAAACAATTGTATTCCTTGTCTCTTGACATAAGGAAAGTGTTCAGTGAGGAACAGACAGACAGAGGTACACACTGACACATAAATGAGATATGCTAATTAAAAATGGCAGAGGGCACTTTATTAAAAATTTATTTTACAATCTAGCCGTTCAAAACATCTTTTACATCAACAAATACAGCAGCTTGACTATTGGAATCAGAAGTGGTTTATCTTGAAAATATATTTGTAGTGGAATCCAAATATTTTCAAGGAATATTTATTTCAAAAGTACTAGTTTTAGAAGTATTTTGATTTCTCTACTTTTACCCATGAAAACAATTAAAACAAGTATCTCAGTGTACATTTTATAGGCAAGGTGGCCCCACTCAGGGCACTATTCCCCATGTTTGTTCGAATTACAGCTGTTTATCTTGCAACTTTCTTTAAGATAAATTAAACACAAATGTGACTCTGAATCATGGGAATACCTGCCAGGCCCCTTATTAATACCTTCACTTAAAAACCCCTGTGCCAGGGAGTCATTAATTCGCTAAGAGAAAAGTGCTAAAGCGGCCCTTTGCCACAAACAGCTCTGGGGCGGCCGCCCAATTAGCTCCCCGCAGCATCGGGGCCCTGCCTTCAGAGCCCGGCCTCGGAGGACAGGGAGGGCTCCGGCGATAACCTGGCAACCTAGGTAGAAACCCAGCCAAGTGCGAGCGTTTGAAGCTGCAGTTTGGCTGCCATCGTGTCGGCGAAAAGAAAGAATTCAGGCACCATGTCATCCAGTACAAAGGATAAAAACGGATTCAACCGGAAATTCAATGTGGCACCACATATGGGATACATGAGTGCGGTTATACAACAGGCCACATATTTTTTTTTGAACAGTCTCCTCCATGCGATGCCGAGGACATGTGTAACCATCATAACGTCTCTAGGAATCTGTATTTAATTTGAGTTGGGGTGGTGGCAGGGATTGGAGATCTGAAGCCGCCACAGGTTTGTGGCAGATGGCTCTGTGTCAGCTATGACAAGCAGCCAGGCTCAGCTTCCTCTGCAGATTTTCTTTTCTCTCTGATCAGGTAAATATGGGCACACTCTGGAAAGTTCTACAGATTCTGCCTTAGGCTGCAAGTTTGTGACTTAGCCCCATCTGTCACAAATCTTCCTTTGGTTCTGTTGCGAGCAGAGACCTGAATTTACCACGTAGGGCCGCCCAGGAAAAAGGAGCCATTTCACCCTGCAAGGGGAAGGGAGAGAAAGCAAGGCAGGGGCATTAAGGGCCGAAAGACGAAAGCATGCTGGAAATCCATATTGCAAATCTGCATAACTCACATCAATTGGATTTTAAAAAGCCACCGAGTAACTGGTTCTCGAGTTTTATCACCCCAGGAAATCCCAGTTTCTGATTGGTTTAAAGTATAACTGTTTTCAGGCACAGGGGAAAGCTCCCGTGGTTTTTTGTTTTTTTGTTTTTGGATTTTTTGCAAATGGGTACATTCCGCTGCACATATACTTCCTGGTTTATGTTATGGATGACAGCTATTAGAAGTTTATCATCCAACTTTTAACTTTTATAAACACAAGATATACATGTTTTTGCTAATGTGAATTTTACTTTTAAGTGGCGAAGGCACAAGAGAAATGCCATTACAATTACGTGGAATTTACAAAGCACTTCAAGTTTACTAACGGGTTTACACTCATTATTTCATTACAGCAGTACCTCAGGGGGAAAATGCTATTAAGAATTAAGAAAAGAAAAAAAAAAAGTCTTCCAACTTTACAGATGAATCATACGGAGGTTAAGAAGTTCACCTAGAGCTAGGCTGCAAATGAGCAGGGAATGCCAAGAAGTTTAACTGAACCGAATCACCCAGAGTATATCTATTGTGCTAAAGGTTTTTTACTTCTGTTTTACTTAGACAAATCAAAGGAAAACCAAGCCACATAAAACCAAGGAAGGCAACGAAGGAGAGGAGGAGGGGGGAGGAAGGAGACTGACACTGATAATTCGCCTTAAATTGTGCTGGTGCTGCGGAGAGATTTTAGAAGTTCTAAAAATGGCACGAGCTTTTAAGTTTTCATTTTTAAGGGAAAGGTAATGACTTCAGAGAACTGTTAATATCAGTGAACAACACCCTGTTCACATCGAGAGTATAAGTTCAAATTAAAAGCGGACGATGAAGTGACCGGTCACTTAGAGGAAACTTAAGAGTGGCTTGGCTGTGGTTCGGGTAGCTATGGCCTGACACAATTAAGACAACCACTAATGGCTTTTCTGGGCACTGAGTCTGAATTATAAGCTTAATTGTTGTTTGGATTCACTTTTAGGCAGAAATCTGAAAATCCGCCTCTCCTCCAAATAACAGCAGGTTACTAATATTTCTAGAATGTTAAAGAACTTGAAGTGGACAACGTAAAAATCAATAGCCATCATCTGAAAAATCTTGAGAAACTACAAGGTCACTTTCATAAGGCACAAGAAAGAATGACATCTCTTTTTTACACAGAATATCGCTCAATTGATAAATAAAATTAACGCGAGACAGGGCAGGTATAAAAATGGAACATATTTTAGTCTGGGAAGTACCTACTTACACAACTGCCCTATTTGTACTCTTGCTATTTTCAATACTGGTAACAGGGAATCTCCATACTTTTTTTTTCTTTCTAAAGCATTTTAAAATATAGTGATCAGAGGACCTCGAATAATTGTTAGGAATGTTTAGAAAGTAAATTCACCCAACAAAATCAAAGCAAAAAATATACAACTTCATGGTATTAGACTTGCTTGGGTTATAAAAGGAAGACCTACTGTTAGTGTAAGAAGTCAATCCTGGGCTAATTATTTTATGATTACTTCTAGAATCTTGTGCTTGTGTAAGGTTTGAGAGTCATAAAGGGCTCCTGTTTTACCTATGTGACAAGTATGTGGCCAATGTGTCTAACCTACGTAGAAAAGGAAATGTCCTAAAAGTGCCAGAAAGCTGCAGTCAATGACTAAACCAGGATGTAAACTTTTTAAAGAAATAGTTTTAACTTTTTAAGATTAAAAAAATAATTTTAGATTTATGTAATTAATAAACATTTAGTTTCTGCTTGCATTGGATTTCTCTTAAGATCTTAAGTGTGTGTGTGTGTGAGAGAGAGAGAGAGAGATGATGTGTTAAGAGAAATTGAAACATTTCAAATCTGAAACCATTTCAGGTGAGAAGTCATGGGCACCGTGTTCTGTAGGAGAGTCACTTTAAGAAAAAAAAAAGCATCAAATTCTGTTTCTGCTTTTCAGTTACTAGCATTCTGTTTCAAATCCTGCCTCACATTCTAGCCCCCAAACTCTCACTCATATTGAAAGTATAATGTCTCATTTGAGAAGAAAGCCAAGTGTTAGTAGCCTTATTCTAGTCATTAAATTTCTAAGTGTGAAAAATCCTATCCTAAAGTGAACTTTATATGATAAGCAGTTGAGATGATTTTAAAATGTAAACTTTTAACAAAAAAAGAGTAAGGTGTAAAAATGTAAAAGGAGCAAATTTAAAAATTCAGTGATATTCTATCCTTTTAGATCTCAGAAGCATATGTTTTATAAAAGCAAAACAGCACTGTCCAATGGAATAAGTCTAAAAATACCCCCTCAACGTTCTCTTTACAGTACACACAAAGGACTCTTCCATTGCATAAGAAAAGTAGGCAAAAAGCTGCCTTGGGGGGAAATAATTCTCTGGTATTTAGTGAAGGCAAATGTGACCTGAAAATGTGTATATTTATGAAACAAAAGTGAAAAAATATCATAACTTATTATTATTGGCTCTAAATCCCATTGCAATAACCAAACTAAATCTGCGGTAATTCCTATCATTTTTACCAGTTTTTCCAAACAATTGCATCCTAAATTTCTTAATTACTCATAATTCTTGGACCAATTTACTAATTTTTTAAGATTGATAATTGCATCTTAAAGCTCTTAATTACTTATAATTCTTGAACCAATTTATTAATTTTTTGAGATTAATTTTTAGACAAATATCATCAAGATCTATGAATGAGAGCATATATGAAAATGTGTAATAAATTTATAAGGAAATAATCCACGGTAGAAAAAGACATACAGGGAAACAACTTGATTAATACATATAAATTCGTATAAAAGATTATGCATGAAATACTAACTTCTAAAACTTTGAGATGGAACATTTTAGGATGTACAGACTAAAAATATATGTAAAAAGTAGTACCATGAAATGACATTTAAGGTGTAGGTTATCTTTCAAGCTGTCTGAGGAACAACTTGGTACATTAACTGCTTACCACTAAGCTGACATTCTTCAGAGTTGTCCCAGAAGTTGTTTGTAAAATAAATAATTATAGCTATGTTATGGCAGTAGCTGCATTAAAATATTTCATCTGGAGATCTGTTTTCTTTTGTAACTAAAGGCAACCTATTGCAGTAACTTTCAAAATGGTTAAAAATTTGCAGCTGCAAAATAATGGGGCCTAACTTGAAGCAAAATTAAAAATGGATAAATTTTGATGGTGGAAATATAATTATCAATACTTCACCATTTTCATCACAAGAGAAAAACATTTTCTTCTTTTTTAGTATCTATAGGAGATGATGGATGAAAACTAACTTATGGCGGTAATCATGTCATAATATATGAAAGTGCTGTATGTTAATTGTATCTCAATAAAACTGAAAAAAAAATTCACCAGAAGGAGAAAAAATCAATAATTTGACAGTGAACTCAGTCAAAACAGCTCAGTGTCATAGGTAGCAAATGAATCCATTGGTATTAATAATTATTCTACTTCTTCATTGTTTTATAATCTGCACATTTTGATAGTCTGTCACGTGGGGAATGACTTGATTAACATACTATACAAACAAGGGCACTATCGAACGTTAAGAATTAGGAAATCTGGACGTAAGCCTTGGAAGACTGTTTTCTCCTACGTATACTATACAATCGTATTGACTCAAGGAGTAACACTGAAGCCTGGAACTGTTCAGTCAGCATTTTAAACTATTATGAGCTACCTTCTGAACCATTGCCAAGTTAATAGACAATGAAAGATAATGAGCTTGAAATTGGGTGTTAAATTGCATTTTTGGTTCTCTCCTTTTTTCTTGAAGTTTAACTGTTTCCTGCAGAAACCAAGTCATGTTTTGATATATCACTGTGTAAATATGTATTTTAGGCCATGAAAGGGAAAGGAGAGACACAGGAGGCAAACTATATTTTATGTATGAAGGTTATATATTAACACAGGAAAATTAAAATATGCTGGATTATAAAACTGCTAGATTGTAAACTATACTGAATTTATGGAAAATGAAGATGCTACATTCAAAGAATATAAAAAGGTATATTACTCATGGCCTAGAGCCACCTTCAAAACTCATAAAGCGGATTTATCCCAGTTCAATTACTTAGACATTTAGTGGGGCTTCTTTGTGTTGTTATCTCAACAATGTAAAATTCTTGACTCAAATAAGGAAAAAAAGATAATGAATAAAGGGACTGAACGATGATGCTCTTTAAATTATGTTCCTTTTGCCTTTGCCATGAAGAGGAGAGACTGACAGTCTAATTCAAAACAAACTGAGGCTTTTTTATGTCATTTTATTAAACTGGGCAAGGGAAACATTTGATTCTTGAAAATCATCTTTAAAATAGTTTAAAAATGAACCCCAAACTTCACTAATGTAGTTCACCTGAATTTTTGAGGACTGAAGATTTCGTTATGATGGAAGAAAGACTTATCCTCATTAGTATAATTGTAGAATCTTTCCTTTACTTCCTTTTAAACTAATGAGTTACATTAATCCAGGTTCACTTTTATAAGCCTCTTGGGGCTAAATGTAAAGGACAGTCATCTTAGAAAACAATAAATTAAAAAAAAAGCATGTACCGTGCATTAAGTGCACATATTTCATAAGACCTGGGTTAATACAACTGGCATCCAGTTTAATTAATCCTTGTTAGTGTAACAACTAATATCCCTCCCTAGCATGTTTCCTTTAAACATTAGTATGTTAATTAAATGTTTTTTTTAAAGATTTTTTTCTTTATACTTCAATATGGCATTTATACTGCCTAAATCTCTTCTCAATAACTACCTTATAGAGATGTTTCCTTATAATATCAGGTCTCTTGCAGAAATTCTGGAGCCTTTTTGAAAGCTGTTCAGGTGTAGAATACAGATATTCAGCTGCAGGAAAAACAGATACATTTTTAATGAAACAAAAACCTCAAAGCACACACTCGATATTAGTCACTTTACTAATTAAAAATGCATATTGCTCTGTGCCGCCTCGTGTTTTACATTATTTAAGCATGATTTTATAAGGTTACCTCAGCTCACAAGGATGTTTAATGCTAAATAAGACTGTGTAGTTGTGCTGTTTAGACATCTCCTTTGGGTGATTAAAATACATTATTCTAATGTAACACAATGCATATGTGATATATTTAGTGATGAGATTTTTTTTCAAAGAACTGGTACTATTGCCGTATGTACCCTGTACAACAGTTGCATATTATTAACTAGTCAATTGTTTAAATAATTTGGTGTGACTCTCAGTCCTCGGTTTTTCTCTGTGTGTATCATTAAAAAAATCTGTAAGCAATTGCAGCAACACTGACCTGCTTATAAAAATCCATCAGTATGGGATGTGTATGCTAACAATGAAGAATGCTATTTGAAAACTTGCTTTTTTGTTATCTTAAAAGAACAGATGGTAAATATAAGCTTACTCTAATGTATTAAAACATAAAATTTTCCTTAACACTAACATGTTGACTTGCCAAATAAACAATTGCTCCTGCCTAAGTTTATTTTCAAACTTTCTCATTTAGCACGAATCATGTATTAAATCTCAACAAAGATGAAAGTACAGTAAAGCAACTACCTGGAAATATTTCAGGATAAACCAAGTCTTTGGGACAAAGTGGGTAACAGCCGCAATACACAGCTTCCAACCTAAAAGAAATTTTAGAAAGAAGATAAAGATACATTAAAAAGACATTACTATCATAGCCAGAAAGCAGTTTTGTTTGCCTAAGTTAACAGTATGAGCCCGGAGTTAACTGGGATGAAATTCATGGTCGGCAGTACAAGCCTAAAAGCCAAAGTTGCTCTTTTAAAAGATTTTATTGATCATATATGAATTTCATAGAACAGAACCAACAGCATATGTTTTGTTCGCTGAATTAATCAAAGCGCAGCTCTGCATTTTTTTTGTTGTTTTTAAAATACTGTTTAACACATTTTATAATCAGCAGATAAACACATGTAACAACATGGTAAAGTATGGACAGCTTTTCTTAATAATGCTGCAGAGCCCCAGAATGTTCATTTTCCCAAAATGCTTAAATAAAATAGCAAATACTTAACTTTAACACTGTAGCCGTAGAAATGATCGAGGCACTTTTAAAAGCATCAGAAAAAAAATTTACAATCTGTCGTGATGGGGCATTTTCATTTTTTAGCTCGTGCTTCCAAACAACTTATTATGCAGAATGTTAAACTAGTCCCCCTTTTATTGACAAAAACATTCCTGAAGATGACCTTAATGAACATTTTGCTTTCTTGACTGAAAATTCAGCTCTTTTTCCATTTTATCAGAAGAGAATACTTCTGTTATTAAACAAAGAAACAAGAAAGTTTCACTTCGTGAGAGAGAGGCTCTCCCCGGGGCCCACCTACAGGAGGTTTCTCTTGGAGTCGCTGTGGTGAGGGTGAGGCAGGGGGAAGGCACTGCACCTCCACGGTGTGTCAGTCCTGCGTACCGGCGACCCATCTGACATCACAAACCTTCAAGACACCACCGTCATTTCTGTTGGCTAGGAATTATGCAGTGAAATTCAAAACACTCTTTAAATATGTTTATTTTATGAGAAACTTTGAATTGCATCCAAATTGTTGACCAGAAGCAGAATTTAATTTTGAACTGCAGATTTTTTTCAATCCAAGAATAATCTGAAGTTATGTCAATGTTTACCTTGTTTACTTACAGTGACAAAGTACATGTAATTTTTTTTTTGGTAATTTCAGCTGTTTTTAAGTGGGTGATGTGTTCCCTATTTTATTGTTGACTAAATGAGTTTAAATGCAAAAGTATTTACTTTAAGCTTGCAAAGTTTAGAGAAAATACCGAGTTCAAAGTTTTTCTTGGGAACTGATAGAAGCGGCAAAATAACACAGGGGAAAGGCACAGGATCTAGTTAGCAATTATTAATTTCAAAATCCAAACTAATATCTAATATTCTCTTCTCTACATACAGAGGGGACGCAGAGGCACTCTGGTCGGAAGCACAGCTATAAACGGCTCTGTGACTGCACTGTAAAACAGTCATAAAAGTTTTAAGCACGTAAACCAGAGATATTCTTTATGAACGAAAAGAAAATATGCACTTTATCTGAAGACACTCGGTTTAAAAATGCAGTGCTAGTCGAAAAGCAAATACATAGGAACATTCTCTTATAATTACATAAAATCAAAAGAGTGAAGTCACAGGCATTTCAGAAAGTGCACATGTTATCTGCTTTTTAATAATGGATTTGAATTAGAGTATTCTGTTCCCCGAAAGAAAACTGCAGGCCAAGTTACATTTTGAGTCATCGCATGAGCATGTACCATGCCATTTCAAAAAAAACCCCTCTGCTAATTAAAATACAGTGAGATAGGAATGGCATTCTTTGATTTAGGAAGAAAAAATTTTACAAATCAGATTTCAACTTTTATTTGTAAATTACCTTATGTACTTATATTTCTAATTCATCAAAAATCAACTACCACTTTTGGGTATAATTTTGACTTATTAAAATACCAAACTTTACTATATACATTATTTATACCAGGACTGTGTTTTAAAATTTATTATATAGGTCATATTATTTTTAAAGAAATTTATGAAATTCATTCTCATAAGTTTCTCATATTTTATTTGGGGGGAAAAACCTATCATCTCGTGACAATAATACAATTATTCATCATTTCAATTCTTATGCACTACCAGTTAAATAATAAATAGGGTTCCAATTGATCTATTGTTAAAATGACTAGCAAATGACCTTTTTATTCCAATTAACAAATCATCTGCTAAATCTATGAATCTTAATATTCAGATCTATTCACTTCAATTCATACAATTTATCTGGAAATAGTTGTTGGGCTTTTGATTCTAAATATAATTAGCTGATAATTTTGCTTGGCTGAATTACTTTTCTGGAGGGCCTGCAAAGGCTCTCAGTCGCATTATCTAGCAATAATGAATCTGATAGGTGAAATTTTTTACTGTAATGAGGATGAGACACAGTTGTGACACCTGAGTCTACTAATAACAGAAGACTGCTAATTATCGACAGCACTTTTTTGTGTGATGCAAGGAGGAAAAAAAAATCCCTCATTATTAAAAAATAAAAAGTTACAATTATAAGTGACACCGGAGGAGAGTAAATAAAATGGAGTGATTAAAACATTGCTGCTTTAAGGGTGTTTTTAATTAAGTGGAAATGCTAATGTTGTCATACTTAGCAGATGGGATTAAAATTAGTTATTGTAAGTAACTCATATTTTATGTTATGGTTTCCACAGCATGTCTACAAGATCTAAGAAAGTGATACATTCCATAAGACATTTTAAAAATGAAATTCTCATACTCTTTACAACTCATAATAATGAACATCATGAATAAACTATTGAAAAAAACCCTGCCAAGGATTTTACCATAGTGACTTAACTAGCAAGGAATGTAGCCATAATGTACTGGACTGCTACAATCTCACTGATGGTACGCTGCTTGCTTTGCTGATTGTTGCATTCCCTATTTCATTCACACTCAACAAAAACAAAAGTTTGGTACTTGGGCACTTGGCCAACATCAAATGTGGTGTCAAGAAGGTAGGGCCTGGATACAAGGAAAGATCATGACCACCCACTAAGGTGATGTTCTAAACTAAAACAGAGGATGCATCATGTAACTGCAGATAAAAAGCTAATTGCACACTTTCTCCTACTTTATTTGTGTAAAATTTTCCATCTGCTACATCTAAAGATGTCTAAACTGTTAGTATCAAACCTGCATTCAGCTGCCAGCTGTGCAC